TTGACGAGGACCAAGATGGTCACATATCACCCGATGAGCACTGCTAGAAATTTTACATTTGGTGGCGTTTAAAAAACGCCGCTAATTATTTTTGCGACGTTTAGTACAAACGTCGAAGACGCGGCCGTCGCTATAACATTATGACGCTTTAAAAACGTCGTTATATTAGTATAGACGGCGTTTTTAAAAATGCCGTTAAATGTAGTAAATAACAAAAAAATAACGTCATTTAGCGACTTTTAAAAATGCCGTAATAGATTTTTTATTATTTTAAAAATATAACCGTTGGTACTGTAGTGACGTTTGGGAAAACGCCGTTATAGCTTCTTTTTTTCTTTTTTGAAATTGTGCTAATTCTATTAGATTTAACTAAAAAAAATACCTATAATAAAGCTAAAAATAACAATAATATGGCTACAGCATTGCTGCTATTTCAATATATTAACTAAATTTAGATAAACATTGCATAATTATTCTAAACCAAAATCAAGTAACAAACACAACAAAAAAATAAAAGGAAAAAAAAATATTATATCACACAAATATAATGCAAATCTGTCAAATAACAAATTCAACGAGACAATGATTTCAAAAACTACAATTGCAGATGACACAACTTCAAGATCTCCATGTTAACACATTCAGTGGTTTTGGGTTGAATCTCAACTGGGTTGGGATGGATTTTCTCAATGTCGCACTCTGCCTCTTCCGTGGCATCACTGCTATCTTCCGATGATGGGACATTGTTGCCAAAATCAATGATAGGTTGGTGGTTGTGGGTGGGATTTTCAGTGGAGAAGACACCAATGGATCTAAATCTGCAAACTTTGGCAAATTTGGAGACAATGTCTGATATATTTGAAGGTGGTTTTTTTGCATATTCCATTTCTTGACTCTCTGATGAAAAAAAAAAAACCCCACAAAAACAAACTGATATGGGAATGAATAAATAAAGGAACAGAGTTGATTTTTCTTCTTATAGAATAAAGTAGGAAAATCTTAGAAAAGTGATCTGAGTACAATAATATAGCATAGAGGAAACAAAAGCAGGGGGACAGAGAGGAGAAACACTGCGACTCCCGCAGAAATGCCAATGAGATAATGAACAAGGGTTTTAAAGAAAGAAAGACACTAGCTAGTTTGAGAATATCTGTAACGCCCTCAAAATAACAACATTAAACCCATCAGATAAGACATGCATTTACATATAAACTAACCACATACTTTTATACATTAGAGTTCCATTACATAGGTATTACATGTTAACATCAAAACAAAATGCCCTACGGGCTTACAGCTTTCCAAGTTAACACTTGGTTACAACAAAAGAGTACTAACTCATACACATTAAGCCCTTGGCTTGTATTTACATGTAATACATCAAAAAGTAAAACGACTACATTATGTCCGCCTCTAGCCTTCCAAGCTATGTCCTTGGAGGTGGCATGCTTCCTGTACCTGAAAATGATGTTCCCATATAGGGTGAGCCACAGCCCAGTAGAAATACACTAAACCAACCATGAACAATGACTAAAAGATTAGCAATTGATAGATGGCTAACACAGATACATTAACATAAATTACACATTTATGTCATACAACTTAAGAGTCTAAGTTACCTTTCATTTTCCCTTTTTCAACAGATAAGCATGCTAGCTCTATCATCATTTCCACAGATATGTATAAAAACTATATCCCACATTCACAGATAAGCATATAAGCTATATCCACATTCTCAACAGATATGTATATCAACAATATCCACAGATAAGCATATAAGCTATATCCACACTTCACAAAGATAAGCATATGAGCTCTATCTTCACCACTTCTCTAGACAAGCATATGAGTTGTATCTACGGAGTTCATCCCCTATCTTCTCCCAACACTATCCGGTTTAGAGGTACATCCCCTATCTTCCCCTAAACCGCGGAGTACATCCCCTATCTCCTCCTCTACACATAACGTATATAAACACATTGGTTCTATATACAATCACCCATACATACAGTTAATGTATTCTATCAACCGTCAAGTTCCATGACACATTTCATTGATTAGTTTCAGTTTGCCTAATCATCATGCATTGTCTACAACAATCACGACTATCCTCCACCGATAGCCCAAAGCAGTTATTTCTAAACAGAAAATAAATGCACAATGGAATCCAATCAACATTTCATTTCCTCATTTCTCACAATTAATTATCCCAATTAATTAAACAATGTAATTAGGTCGTTATCCATAATTACCATTTCAACCCTTAGGTCCCATTTTCATCAATGATTCAACATTTATTCCATTCTCTATGCCTAACATGCATCTAGGTTTATTATGAATAAAACCCCAACTTTTGTAAAATTGC